TCTCTTCACCATCCATCCTGATGCTACCAATTGGTCCAGTGGTGAGAATCTTTGTCTTCTTGACATTGAGCCTCAGTCCATACTGAACTTAGAGAAGTAAAATGACAGGACCCTTCCCAGGGAGAGCTGTTTCTCCTTAGTTATTTCTCCTATCCCCTCTTCTTCTGTGAAGAAGTCCCTGGAACAATGGATAGATACGGAGAAATGGCCTTGCTCTATTATTAAGGAAAGAAATTGTAACAAACTGGATATTTAGAGTAATAATTTCTGTTATAATCTATTCAACATATACACAAGTAGAGACATCCTTAAAACAACTATGAGATATCATCTCACCCCAGTAAGAATAGCAAAATTTAACAGAACAGCAAACAACATATTCTGGCGAGGTTGTAGAGAAACTGGACCCTTATTCACTGTTGGTGGGAGAGTAAAATGGTGCAACCACTGTGGAAGGCGGTATGGCGCTTTCTCAGAAAGTTGCAAACAGAGATACCATTTGACCCAGCAGTTCCACTACTGGGAATATATACCCCAAAGAAACCATAACCACCACCCAAGCAGATATATGCATACCCATGTTTATCGCGGCTTTGTTCACAATAGCAAAGAGTTGGAAACAACCCAAGTGCCCATCAACAAACAAATGGATAGAGAAGCGCTGGTATATTCACATAATGGAATACTATGCTGCATTGAAAACCAAGGAACTCATGCAATATTATACAAAATGGGTGACCCTGGAGGACATTATGCTGAGTGAAATATCTCAGTCTCTGAGGACAAATATTGCATAATGCCACTGTTGTAAATTGAGACTGACATCGAGGTTGGGGGGGAGACTGAGAAAGATGGGATAAATTATGTATACTGCACTGAAACAGATGAGGGAGAGAACTGTTTAAAAGGGATGTATAAGGTATTATTGTCATGACAAGAGTACAGAACGAAGGCTGCATAGTGGAGTGGACTTGAGGGGAGGGATTGTATAACAGTGCAAGAGTTTTTCTTTTACTTTTCAAAGAGTAGAGTGAAGTTGGGGAGACGGGTGGGCAGGGAGAAAAGTGCAGCAATGAATGAAGGGAAACCCTAAATCTCTGTAAACTTTCATTAAAATTAATAATAAAAAAATCATGTGGAAAAAAACCCCAAGTACAGACAATCATTCTTAATTTTTTTATATTTTCCAGTAGTTTATTTACAAAATTCGAATACATTGGGTTTTGTTTGGGGTTTTTTTCTCAATTTATTTTATTATTTTGTGTGTGTACCATCAAATCGGATCCAACTGGTACAGAACATTGCCCCTCCTTTCTCCAGCAGAGCATCTGGTGGACTCGAACAGCACACCTATGCGATTGCAGCCCAGCTTCTTGCCAGTAGGCCACCAGAGCTCCCTGAATATAGTGTTTTTAAGAACAAATTCTTTCAATTTCCCTCACCCCACCCCCCATCAAATTGTGCAACCCCATGATTAACCCCCCCTCCCCTGAACATCCTCATCCCTCTGCTTCCATCCTCTTCCACCCCTCTTGGATCCTTCTACTCATTCTACAATAATGGTGGGTTGTGGTTTTTTTTTAATTTATTATTAATTTCAATGAAAATTTACAGAGACTTTGGGTTTCCATTCGTTCACTGTTGCACTTTTCTCCCCTCCCAACCCTCTTCCCTAGTACACTACCCTCTTGGAAAAGTAAAAGAAAAATTCTTTCCTTGTTTTACAATCCTCCCCCCCAGGTTCACTCCACTATGCAGCCTTCGCTCTGGACTCCTGTCATGACAAAAACACCTAATAACATATCCCTTTTAAACAATTCTCTCCCTCATCTGTTTCAATGCAGTATACATTAATGAAGG